TCCACCTTCATATCCTTAGTGCAATCATGTTGGATTAGATTATTTGCAATGTTCATGACAAATTTATTGTCACAGTATATTTTTATTATTTCTTCTCATGTGATTTTTAATTCTTACAAAATAATTTTGATCGCACAAGCTCACAGATTCTTTTTACAATGTTTCTAAATTTAGACTAAGTGCTAGATCTTAAAATAAAGGGTCATTTGTTGCTACTCAATGTTATGAGATTTCTTCTAAAACATATAGATTATCTAATTGTAGATTTCTTATTCACTAGTGATCATGCAAAGTTTGCATCAATATACCCTTTATACATTTATTATGGCATTTGCTCTTCATGAGCTTTGTTCATACGTAATTTTTTTATCTTCAACTATCTGATGTGGAGGATGTAAATATATTTGCTTTAAATTTGAAGCAAAATATTTTGTGTACATTTTGGGTTTTATAAAGTATTTTTAGCATTTTTATTTTTTTAATTATAAGAGCTTGAGCCCGAAGTAGTTTGCTTTGAATTTTACAAATATTTTGATAATAGAAGTTCCACTGGTTGAGATTTATTGTCAACATAGCCATTATCAGTGTATAACGTTTGAATAATGTTGTTATGGTTGGGGATATGACTGTGAGAATAGACTCCTCAAATTGTTATGTGCAATAAGCATGCAAATCATAAGGGTTGTTGATTGAATTTTGCTGCTTTAAACCTTATCAACTATACTCGGCTTGTTTGCAAAGAATTGTGTTTGAACATTGAATTTATAGACTGCCATATAGGCAAGGTAGCCCTATACTTCTCATTTTTTAAACGAACTTTCTTTACAAGAGATTTTGAATATCATATACAAATGAAAGAACATAATTTAACAAATTTCATGGTCGAATATTTGATTCCTAATTTACAATAATACTAGTTTTTTTTTTAAGATTGAAAGCAAACATTATTAGTCATTCTTTTGATCGCAATTGAATTTATTGCTAAAATATTTGTCAACAATGAAGTCTTGTCAACTCCAATTCTTGTGTTGTGGATGATTAAACTTAGAAAAATAGGACTTATGACATTACCCTATAGATTAAGTTATGTTTCTTGATTTATATTGTTTATATTGCCTTTTTAATGCGTACTAATGTTTCCTACTTGTGCTATTTATAATATTTGTTCATTTTCTTCATTTCCATATTGACTAATGTTCTTCAATGCATATATAGTGTGGGGATATTTAGATTTTCTTAGAAAAGAAATTTGGCAACGCTCTAACCTATGTTGTTAGGCTTGAATTAGGGTTGTGGGTGATGTGACATACACAAAATGACCCTCCCATCACAATAAGAATGGCATATATGGGTGATATCCAAAGCACCTAAGTGAAAGCAGAACCTCCCCACCGTAAAGCATGTATGAGTTTTAAAGATAATACTTGCAAAAAAGTAACAATATAGATAAATTGGGGCCCTCCCCATTGTACTAAGAATAACATGTATCAGGTGTATTAGTGATTGCAATGTTTTCTGAATAAGATGTTAATTTGTTACACAATAGAACAATACAATGTAACCTCTTGTACATTTTTTTCGGACAAGAGGCGCATCTTGATGTGGATGCGCGTCTCTCTTCTCGCATCAAACTATGTTAAGATGTAGGATCGCATGCATCCTTACACAAATCTATGGATCTATAAGCTTGGGGACTGCTTTTAAGGTCATTTCTTACCCTTCTAGTGAGATGGATGGCATTTTATGCGACCTGATGTCTGTAGCACCATAGGCTTAGGGAATGTTTTTTAGGGGCATTTCTTGCCCTTATAGTAAAATAGAGAGCTTTTTAACATTTTTAGAAATTTGTCACCACACAATCACCCATGGGTTCGATGGCATGAACTCGCTTTTGTATCTACATATTGGGTCGATCATTCTTAATGAAGATCGAACACAAGTAGATGCCTAAAATAATGTTTGAGTACTTTTCAAAATTAGAGTCAAGTATGAGCCAGAGACCACAACATGAAACAAGCATGCACAAGATATAAAATATATTTTAAGCATTTTTCAATTCAATGCCTTCTAGTTCAGTTAAGAATTATGTTGGTTCAATTCAATGTTATTAAAACCCCATTTCAACTCCCATGACCAACCAATTTCCTCTGGGTTCAGGTTCTTCTTCTTGCTCTTTCCTTTTTACAATCTCTAATTCTCTTGTGATCTTCTATCAAACCCTTAAGTTTTGCTCCTATGTTGAGTGTCGAGACTGCTCCTTTATTGAGCCTTCAGAATTGAGCTTCTCCACCAAGCTTGCTGCTACGCCATAATGTTCTACTTCACTAGTTCTCATTCCAATGACACTCTCCATATTCCTTGTGATGCTTTAGGACATTTTGAACTCATTGGCTTGCTCTTTCTCTTCTTTTTGCTGGCTCTAATCCTAAATTGGTATAAATGGTACTCATTTTTTTGGTTATTTTCTTTATCTTTAAAATTTTACTTTGCATCAAATCTTTATAGTTTAGGTTTTCTCAAAGAACTAATTTGATTTCATTTTTTAATAATAAAGGTTTAGAGTTTTTCCATTTCCAATCTAGTAATTTTCGTTTCTTTTTACGGTCAATATTAGGAGAATGACTTCTTTTTATTTGCTTTCTAATCTTTGTATGTATAATGTATGATGCTATACTTGATGTTTGTTATAGAATAATATTTGCTCATGTGTTTTATTTATATATTTTGTAATGATAATTTATAAAAGATAATATTTTATCCATAATATGTTTGTCTTGTCTTCTCCATGTCTTGATACTGATATTCATGCTTCATATATCATCTCGAACCTAAGATTACTTTAATGTGACATAATGGAATTGAATAGATGTCAAGAGAAAGCTTTGCCAAGCATTTTGGTGATGCATGTATTTGAAATAGCAATTTTAATATGATATTAGGAGCCTAGAATAGTTTTAAAAGATAACAAAGTAGTATTATTCTTTCAGTGATAGATTACTGTCTATGGGCAGAGGCAGTACCACTTACAGAGGTCAAAGCTAATATTGTGCTTAAGGCTTTATTTGGGATGGCTTTCTTATTACTTCTCAAAGCAATTTTTTAGTACAATTTGTTTTTATACTAGAAAGCTGATTTAAGAAGCAGCAAAAAAGCTGTTCCAAACGAAGCCTAAGTTTTCTTCTAAACCCACAGTTTTTACCACTCTACTTTCTTCTATAGAATATGTACTCAACTGTGGGCTCCGAAAAATTCCAATTTTGGGATGTGTGATCCCGAGGGAATTTTCAGAAGGCAGATTGGGTTTTAGATAAGACACTACCCAGAGATTTCGCAACATTGGATCCATGTAAACTACTGGCCTTATAACCATTTGAATTGAGGACTGAGGTAATGCATTGTAAAATGTGCTGCTTGGTCTTTAACATGCTAGCACTAAGGTTCATGAACAAATGGAAGAATATTGCAGGTTCCATTTCGTTTGTGATTGTATGGAAGCTTTTTAAAGCTTCAGCCTATAGGAATAAAGTATACCAAATATTCAAAATGGAGTTATCTTCATAACGTTAATGTGTTTAATAGGGAATCTTGTACGGTGTATAGAAAATTATCATTTCAAAATGGAGTTTGTCTGTCACTAAGTTCGAACGAGATTAATAATTATGATATGACAATGACACCACTTGGATTCCTTTCACTATTTTAGTTGTTTGAAATCACTTTTCAGTATGATCTCATACTGTAACACATCCATTCTCATGGCAATTGAAGACACGACTTTATTTGGGACGGCTTTTTTACTACTTTTTAAAGTAGCTTTGTAGTTAAAAAAATTAGTTTTTGGACTAAAAAGTTACTTTAAGAAGCAGTAAGAAAGCCGTTCCGAACGAAGCCTTAGTTCTCAACAAGTAATGCATTTTCACTGGTCATTTACCAGGTCTATGGGTTAGCTGGAGTCAGGCTTTTTGCCTGCTTTTCTTCCGTCTTGTTTCCTCTGAAATATTGAAATAAAAGTGACGTGCTACGTGTAATATTACTTGCAGAATATAGGTCATTAATTAGGCAAGTCATGTAGGGCTATGATTCCTCAAAATAGTTGGTGTTGAATTCAAATTTGTTTGTAAGCAACACCAAAATCTTACGCACAAAACTCACTAGGCATACTGAACAAAAAATAGATAGAGAAAAAGAGAAGCAAGAGTGAAGAGGATTTCACTAGATTGCTGGAAGTATAGACTTTACCCCTTATTTATAGGTTCAGAACAGGGCTTTCCACTAAAGAAGAAGTTAAGCTTAAGCTATACGATCATTGGAAAATACATGAAAAGTTTTGTCATACAAGTACATGAAACATGAAACCTAAATACATAAGAGTACACGTGGATGATTGATTGGGGCTATCATTAGTTAAAGTCTCACCAACTTATTGGGTGAAGTCGATTAGTATTTCATTTGGGACAACCTTTTTCTGCTTTTTTAAGTAGCTTTTTAATACAAAAATTTTAATTTTTATACTAAAAAGTTGCTTCAATAAGCAGTAAAAAAATTGAAGTCTCCAAGTCACTTGTGAAGTTGATGACTTGATTGATTGAAGTTGTTGACTTGTCTGAATGAATGCTGGCAAGTAGCTTCTTAACCTGAGCGAATAGTTTCTGCGTGTGGCCAAGTACCCAAATAAAATAAAATAAATTCAATTGATGACTACATCCTATTGCCATTAGTGAGAACATCTACATGAGATATTTTAGCATAAAATGAATTCTTCAAGAGGAAGTTTGTCTAAGTTTCGTTTGGGACGGTTTTCTAATTGCTTTCTAAAGCATTTTTTTAGCATAGAAAATTTTTGAACTATAAATTTTGTACTAGAAAACTGTTTTAAAAAATAATAAGAAAGTTGTCCCAAACGAAACGGTCACTTTTTGTATGTAACTATTTTTATGAGCATCAGTTGCTTACAGTCTGTTAGTTTCAGCACTGACACTTTGTGAAATTGCCCAATACAGGAGCCGAAGACAATCAGCTGGAATTGGGGCAATCATCTTTCTGATTAGACCTTTGATGCCATCAACTTCTTGACTCTTTTAACGAACTTTTATTGACTATGTTAGCCAAATGTCTCTTATTCTTGGTATTGCTTGCTGTGTGAAATGATGTAATCTTTTTGAATTTTAGTTATCCTTTTTTCAAAACTATCACATCTTTGATCTTTGGCATTAATAGATGTTTTTCGATTAACTGCTATAAGCTATGTGGTGGACATGGCTGCAATGTTTCTGGAAGTTGAAACATGCCATGCTTTGCCAAACCAATGGCCTTCAAATATTTGCATCTTGATAGATTTGGGTTGATTAAAGAAAGTATGAGTAATTTCAATCATCATTTATTATTCTAATTCTTTTGTTCCAATCTGTGTGCTCGCTTCATGATCATTTCAAAATAGTCTTTTGATCATTCCTAAATGATTAATTTAGGGTTTGTTCTGTTTTTAAAGTAGTTTTCTTGTATAAATATTAAATTTTTTATGCTAAAAAACTGTTTTATGAAGCAGTAAAAAAATTGCTCCATACAAAACCGTAGTCTCATAATACTATATTGATTTAATTTACTCTTTCAACTATGGAAAATTAATTCAAAATAGTTCTTTTGGTGTTAAATTGAAATTAGTTTTATATTGTTAAAGGATTAAATTTAGATTAATTTTATATTATAATTATAATATGAGGTTATTTTAGATCAATTTTGTAGGGTTGATAGACAAAATTGAAATAATGAAATATTTTGAGATTAAAGTAATCAAACTGAATCGTTTATATTCTATTTTAGAGCTTTTTTAGTACAGTTATTTAACAATATTGTGTTTTTATAGTGATTTCATGAGCTTCATTTTGAGATTAGAATTCTTCGGTTAACCGTCAGTTGTAGCTGGTTATAACTAGTGGTTTTTTGTTGGCTCACTATGCCACATCTGTAGGTAGGAATTGCAAATTTTGTAGGGCTATTTTGTAAAATTAAGGAAATTTCTTTTTTAAGCTATATATATATATAACAAATAAACAATTAATATAAATTTTGTAGGGTTATTTTGAATTAATTTTGTAAAATTTGTAAGAAGAATAAATAATTAATATAGTAATTTTCTAGTATAAAAATGGCAAAAAAAAAGCAAAAATCGACACAAATAAGGCAAAATATTAAGGTTTATTGGGGATAATTTTATTTTGAATGAACTTTTAGACTTTTTTAATAAAACGAATAAGAATTTCTCCAATTCTAATTAGATGATCTAAAGTCAAATTTTCCATCTAAAATTATCAAATATGAAAACAAAGGTTTGCAATTAAATTTTGAATAAATAAATATCTTAATGTTTTTAATAAATTAATCACACAATGCTTTTAATAAATTATAAATAAATTGTGAAAAATAATGATAAAAAAGGTGGATTTGAACGATAATTCTATAGAATATAGCAACAGAAGCCACCCACCCATTCATCAGAACAACGTTTAAAATAAATTATGAATAATAAGATGCCCTAGAATGAATCAATATTTCGTTAAAAAAAAAGAAATAACGACTTATTTTCCCCTTGCTCTCTCGGCTTCTGGGCTGCTATTCCTCCTCAACTCTTAAATCAAAATAGGCTGAGAAGGGCTACTTAAACAAAGCAGGTTCCACCAAATTAAAATAACTGTTAGATGCACAATTATCTACCTTAACAAGTAAAATGATAAGTAGGCATCTGTAAGGACACTTTAAGCAGCTATAAGTTGTTCAGCTTTCCTTGGCTTAAGCAGCTGGCTTCTCCAAACCAGTAATCTGGAGTTTTGCAGGAAAGAAGCAAACATTAGAAACAACAATAATAATATAACCCTTTTTTATTTTTGTGACGAGGACCTCCGCTTCGCGGCGAGTAAACCCCGGTCGACCTAGCAGGCAACCCACACCATTTACCCAGGCCAACACATAAGGTTGTCACGGCCGCCCAAGGGATTCGAGCTCGGGACCTGGGCTTTGCCCAGCCGAGCTCCCCCCACCTGAGCTAAGCTGCGGTGGGTAATAATATAACTTGAACAAGTGAAGAAGTTGATTGAAGGGTGTGGAAAATGGAAATACATACAGAAATCAGACAAAAAAACTCTTATCTTGCTTCATTTGGAGGAACCAACTGTACATGAGAATCATTGGATGTCACTTCAATTCTAGAATTGGTGTTTCCAGACGTGTTAATCCCAGATGCTTCCTTCTTGAGCTTGTGATTGTTATATGCTACAACACCAGCAATGGCTGCAAATAGAAGTAGTTTATGATGAGAAAAGCAAAGTCATTATTTGCATCAAAGTATTAGATCAAGGTTGGATAGTTTCAAAACTACTAGTACTTGAAAGATGGGTAATGCTGTGAAGAGGCAATTACATTAGGGATAAGATTAAAAATAAGAAAACCCAAATTTTGGATATAAAACAAACTAATCAAAAGAAATTTTAAATTAATCCCTATATAGAGCCAACCTACCAAATAAAGATCCATGGATTGGCTAGTCAAGCCATCTCAGGTATCCTATCAATCTTCATCCTATGATTAAGATTTCCTACCTCCTAATCTTAATCACGATGATTCCAATCGACAAATCATCTTCACTCATAAACTCCCACTGAATTGATTTTTAATCTCAGAAATATGATTCGAGTATACTTGTCATTGATAGTCCTCATCAATAAATCAAACCATCAAAACTTCAATGATCATGAACACTTGAATTCCTTCAAAATTTGGAGCCCAAATCACGATCATGGATGATATGTTCAATCATCCTCATTATCTAAATCCCAATTCATGGGCTCCCCCTCTTTAAGGCTTTCACTCTTAATTAGATTATAGCTCCAAATGAGGGAAGCCTGGTTTCACAATCTCCTTTTTCTACGACTTAGTTGCACTAAAAAAATAACTCTTATTTCCAATTTGATGAGTCTCCTTTAGCCCATACCTTTTTGTTGTCTCCTCCGATAGGATGTTCTACTCCAAGGGTACCTTTTGCTCCATCAATAAATCAGTCATAGCAGGTAAGACTTCTCCATGATACACATCTAGCAAAAAAACCATGAATGGCTTAAGTTTCTCCACATTGACCACCAAATACATTTTCATGTATGGTAGAATCTATAGTTAGCAAGCATTATCCCTAGTTTTCTTGGTAATTGGAAATGGCTTATATCAGATTGGTTACTGTTTTTTTTTTTTTTCCTTGTCCCATGATTTAACCATTGCTTAATTCAAGCCATGAAATATCACACTTGGTAGTTGGCTTTGACATGATGATAATCAGATCTTTCTCTGAACATCTTTTATGTCTTTCACATGTGTTTTTCCGCCATCATATGTACTTTATGATTGACTTCAAGAAATTTTTAACGTCAACTCCACCATCAGTAGTGGGGATGATGAAGAGTGATGAAGAAGTAGAAGTCAAATATATTGAGGCAAGTAACTCAAACAAACCACAAAAAAAATCTTCAACATTATGTATAACACGATTGAAATCAAACTGCAGGTAAGGTAGTTTATCATCCCAAGTCTTGGAATGGTTGTTATTGTCGCCACAAACCATCAACTGTTCACCAACTCCATTTGGTCATCCACCTATATGGACGGAAGGCAATGCTCCTTCTCAACTTTGTATCCATCTCCGTTGGTCAATGGAATTGGGATCAAAATGTGCTTAAACAATTTGGAATTATAATAAAGCAACCTCCTCGTCGATGATGGTTATTCAGCGTGCAATCAAAATGGTCATCTTGGAGAAGTGATCCTATAACACAGATATTTTTTGCCTGGTTTTTCTTCAAAACTTTTCCCAAGAACTGCATGGAAATACTTATTAATTGATGGCTTCACAAGGGTATAGTGTCTACATCTCGAGCTTTCGATTTGCAGGCTTGAAGCTGTTGCACCATGCATTCCTTCATGAACTTGTACATGTCCTCTTGTATCTTTGGCTAATATATGCAGCACTACAAGTTTTTTAAAATTCTCGTCCACTCCAAAGTGCACAACTGTTCTTGATGAATGTGCCTACTGCATGTATTATATTATCAGTCTCATCAAGCATACATAAGTATCTTCCTTTGTTAAGAAGGCCATCTTACCAAGTGAACTCTAAAAAAGACAAATTCCTCAAGTTTTCTAAGACCCTTCAAAGAAAGGATCCTTCTACATATATATATATATAGCATACTTGGTTCAACTTGTATAATAATATTTTAACAAGAAAGGACTAGTGGTGGCTAAGAGATTTGTTGAACAATACACTCAAAACATGCGAAAGGAGCGAAAATTGGCGACTCAAGTGACGGTTGACGGGCTCGACGCGTCACTTGAAAGGTCAACCGACCTCTGATCACCAAACGGACTGCGTCATTGCGATCAGAGCATCAAACTCTCCTGAGAGGGAGTTCATCGCATTCAAATTGGGCGAAAGCAACTGAAGTCAACGACCGACACCTGAAATGGACGCCTGACATTGCCAAAACGATGTCCCATCGCAAAACGAACTTCACCGTTGCGTTTGGCATCTCGACGATATCTAAACGGACTGTAATTTTGGCTAATGAAATTCACGCAAGAAAATCAGCACGCAGCCCGAGGCAAAAAATGCACATATTTTGAGAAAACGCACGCAAGTCAAAGGATCAACGTGTGAGCTTCTAATTCATTTATATAATTTTAATAACATAATACTATTATTATAATAATATTATTATTATTTTAATTATTAAAAAAATCAATCAAATCAAAATAAAGAAATCAGTTCAATTAATTACCAGGAGGGCTTCGACTCTTCCAGCTGTCGACGGCTTGCTTGTCGTGTGTGAGGAGGTGAAGGAGAGGGGGGTCGGAGGCGTGGGCTAGCAAAAGAGACAAAGACGGGGAGGATGAATCGAGAGAGGGAGAGAGTTAGGGCCGAATCATTTAATAAAAGCTTTGGAAAAAAAATAAATATAAAAAAATATTTAGAATTATATTAATTATTATAAAAAAATGACTTGCACTATTTTGCGTCGTGCGCCCATACGCCATGGCGTGGATGTGGTGTCATGCCGTGGATGTGGCGCAAACAGCGCATGCCATTTTGAACACCTGCGCCGCGCCGTACACATGGGGCCGTAGGTGCGTCGCGCCGCACCGTGCGCCATGGCGAGAGCTATTTTGTGCCATTGACATTTATGTTCACACTGAATGAATTTCTCAACTTTCCATTATGCGTGACCTGATCAATATTTGTGTCTATCCTACTTATTTTTATGCTCTAGACACGTCGATGTGATCCATTGTGTGAAACAAGCGTTGATTTCAATTTTGGTCAAGGCATTCCATTTAAGATTTATGCATGAATCCACCATTGACAACCTCTATAAGAAATTTTTTTATCATTCCTCTTTGAGTCATCCAACATTATCTTCTTCAACATAATTCCATCTTCCAAGCTGTTTCTCTTGATGATCTCACTTACATATCATATTTCTTCAAATAAATGATAAACCTTCTAAACAACTTGGCCATCATTACTATTCTCAAATGGGATTCCTTTCATGGCTCTTTTCCAACATTTTTTCTTTTTCTATCAGAGAGATCACTTTTGCTTGAAGATTCTTCAATTTCTTAAACACTCTCTCTTATATAAACTAATCATCACCAAGATTACCAGTCTCTTCATTCAAGTATTCATTAGGGTACATAACCTTCATTTTTGGATGAGTCTGCGCTGTTAGACCCACTGGTTGTTGTCTCTAGCTCAATAACATTATTTGCATTATTAGTACTGTCCCCTTCCTATCACATTCTTGATAGAATTTTTTACATTCCCAACAACCCTTGTTCTTGATATATGATGTAATTCCTCTGCTTTTCTGCCTTTCATCCATGCTAAACTAGGTCTTAGAATGGCTTCGGGATCACAATCAATAATTACTAAGACAATTCCTTCAAAATAATATGAATGCTTCTAAACACATTCACCAATCCCCTTACTCTTCGCATGCTCAACTCTACTTCACATTCAACATAGATATCAATGTCATATCGCCCATTTGAAAAATGATCATTCAACATCTTCATTATGTTGATATCATTCATCAGTTTAGCAACTCCGATAGTTGTGGAAATTTCACTATCAAATATATTTACAATAAACCAAAAAAATCATCCTCAAAATTGAGTATTAAGTACTTCAACCTTCATATTTTTTATTTCTTCCACAACCCATTTATAACTTATGAAACATGAGAAAAACTCAACTAATACCCTATAAAGATATAGTTGAATCCTTAACTTACGATAAAACCTTAATAAATGTATTCACAAAGTAGCATCAAGATCTGCATGCTATGTTACAAACATAGGGCCCAGAAAATGCTCATTGAAAATTGACATGCTAGAGTGAAAAATTAAACTCCAAAAATGCTTCTATAATTTTTTAAAAAAATGCTATAATTCATACGTGGTATCTCCAAAAAATATTTACAACAGTCTTTTAAATGATATGGCACACTGAAGGTGCAATAAAAAAAACATTAAAAAGTTAAAAAAAGAAGAATGAAAGATCAAAGCCCTAGAAAAATGCAACACAAAGCCCTAAATCCAGCATGGTAAAGATGAGAGTTATTGTTCACTTAATAGAGCCCCAATTCTTTGCAGTATCTTCTCAACTTTCATCCCTTAAGATCAAAGGTGATTGTCAAAATAGGTCATAGAAATTTAAGAACTCAGTTGTTCCTTTTGTTTGCTTGGACTCAAGGCCCCACATGAGCTTCTACATTAGGCATTTTAAGTATCAAATTCAAACATGATGAACTTGCCACGGTAGGATCTTAAGACATCATCATTCAATGTTAGGGATCTAATTATGTTGATTTGCTTTTTAAATGTGGACCAATATGACTCCTATATAATTGAGACCTATTTCCTATATAACTGGGACCTATTTGTGCTTTACCAAAAGTAGTTGCAAAGCGGTGATATCATTTTCACTAATGTGTAAAAATGAAATATTCATATTTAAGGGATTTTGAAGGTGTTTGTAGAGTTTAAAAAAAAATATTGATCTTTAACCAGTAATGTTAAAGGTGTGTTGATCACTCGCCTAAGTGCTGAAGCAAGGTAAAACAAGTCTATGGTGCCTCAATACTTTTCAAGACTATGCTATCAGCCTATCACTAAGGCACGTCTAAGCGAGTGTCTTGCCTTTAGGCTCCAGCTGTCTGGAAAGTGCTTATAGATTAGTTTTCAATGATAATAATTTGACATGAGGTGAAGAGAAACAAGAAATCAGGAGTATTAGAAACACGCATATGCGCTTGGAAACAATTTACACAAATTTTGGGTACAACAGCTTCAAGTTTAAGAAATATAAATATGCGCTTAGAAATAAGTTACACAAGCTGTGGGAAGAAGGGCGTCAAGTTTTAGAGTAGTAAACCTTGAGGATGAAGATGTGTGTAATGAGAAAAGAAAAAGATGGGAGACAAGAATTCCATTAATGGAAAAAATATATATGAATGATAGTGAGGATAAAGTACATAGCAGGGAAGATTTGATTACCCCTAGTCCATGCATGCCAACAGCTTTAGCAGTTTATCATACTTGCTTAAGATAATATATTACTAAGAAGTTTGAATTTGGAATATAAAGGAACCTGAAAATTCATAATTTCCCAATCTTACTATAATGTAATGATTATCACTTCATGCTCTTAAAAATGATCATCACATTTAAAATTTATTTATTAAGCGATATTAACTATTTCTTCTTTAGCGTCTCATTTTACTGGAAAAACATCTAAAGTCGTGCCTAGAGCTTTGAACATTGGACAAACATGACTCCTTACAAGTCCATAATGTGTTTTACAAAATTGTCCCTAACTTCATCTAAACAAATGATAAAATCTAGTAAATTAATAATTTGTGAAACATGGTTTCTACCTTAAACAACCAATGAGCTCTAATACAGGATTTAAAGAGGAATTGAAAAATAACCTTTATGGTGCATTGAAAGAGAGATTATTTCTGAGACAAAATGATCTTCCAACAAATATCAGAAGAAAAAAAAAAAGTATAGCATTATATGTAATTAACGTTAATCATGTTAAGTTAGGCATGCCATAAACTTTTGCAAATACATGAATTTGGCCAGTCTCATAGTAAAATAATAACTTAGTCAGATTTTGCTGTACCATACCTATTCCATAACCAACTAGGTTAATAAATGTTAACTTCGTATCAGAAAATAGGGCAGCAGATAATAAAACTACCACCCAGTCCCTGACAACCCCAGCAACACGAATAGTCAGTGCACTTGTCCTTGAGATAACAAGAAAAACCGAGAGATTGAGCACAAAGGTGCAGATGCAATTAAGAAACAATATAAGCGGTGGAAAGTTCCAGGGCCCAGCTGAATCCATTTTTGGTTTGTCTAGGAATAACCATGGGATAAAGAGACAGAATGCACTGCAAAGAATGAATAAAATTTTTTTAACGAATGAAGACAAATTATACTTTTCTAATTTATCATCTTAAAAAAGGTGTGAGAATTAATATACCTGCATGGACTGACATAGTACATCACTGATATTGAGTTCAGGCGTATCCCTTTTCTTTTCACAAAAATTTCCATGAAGATAAGCCTAAGAGCTTCCCCTACAACCCCGCCCATCTGATATACCACTCCAACCCAACTAACAGTGACTTCCCCATAGGAGGCAACAATAACCCCAAAACTGATGACGGACATTATCAGGAACATTCTGCAAGACAGCACTTCAAGACCAGCTGCAGCTCCAAGAATGAAGACAGCTACAGGCACTACAAATGCAACACAAAAAATAGCACATTTCCACATCAAGAGATGAAGAGAGGGAATAAACTATCAATGTGTTCAAAAAGAGAAAGGGGGTGAAGAGACGTTACTTACTAACAGCTTTCAACATCTGCGCAAATGCAACAGAGATGTAGAGGTATGCACTGTTTCCCAACCAGAGGGTCATTGCAAACATTGCACCAATGGGAATAATGGAGGTAGCATATCTGGTGTTTAATAAGCAAATTAAGACTGCCCATAACCTCTACAAAGAAATAGCAATTTTTGGAAAACTAGTTGACCCTATCAGTTTATAATTGATAATAAATAAATAAAAATTCTCAATAAGAGAAGAAAAGACTTTGCAATTTTCATGAGTTCTTGATAGTTGCATGATGTAAGAGAATTATCTTCATACCATAATAAAAATAAACAAACATCAGAGGATAATATAACAGCTATTATCTCTTGCGGTCCACAATAAACAACTAAGTCATTCAATCTTGATTGATAAACAAGTCAAAAGCGGATCATCATCACAGGATAGCTTTTACAATGAGAATAAATGATAAACACTCCAAATCACTTATGGAGTTGCAAAATTATCAATATTCATTATGGAATCATCTGTCATTATTTTATTAATATAGTTCATTAAACATCTCCGTTAGGATATTTATATGAGATGTAATTTAAACATTCCTAAAGATGATTGGATAAATTATTGTCTGCAAGTTTTATATAAGGAGGATGAAGAAACATACAAGTATCTTTACGGATTTAATGCTGATGTTAGATCTTATTAACATTATGATGGTGTATCAACACAATCTTCATATTCACCACAATGCCAAGCTTAATATAATGAATTAATCATCTATCTCCCACATCAACATCATATCAAGTTTGATGTCAGCATAATCAGTATTATGACCAGCATTCCTCCACTACTTATGTTTCATCATTTCACCAGTCATTTGTTAAATAGAAATAGATACATATATGCCACACTATATAGGTTAAGCATGCAATGCAATAAATTCTCCTGTAATTATAAGTCCAAAGAGCAGCACAATGCCTATTAGGATCATTTGGAAAATTAGACAAATGATAATGATAAGCACAAATTGAGCAAGTGATTGAGATTGTACATAAGCTTGAGCCAAAGCCTTCTACAATGATTGTAGATGCACCTGAGGCTGCGCCGAGGTCCTCTAAAGTTAGCAACACAGCAAATTTTCCTATAATCACTAGTCCAATTAGCAACACAATGCCCACAAGATCATCCGAAAATCTAGAAAAATACTAATGACCTCACAAGTTGAGCAAGTGACTGAGATTGTATCTAAGCTTAAGCCAAAGCATCCTATAGCAATTGATGATGCAACTGAGATTCACCCTCAGTTCACATCACTTCCATAAATTATCAATGTCTGTGAGACAATTCATATAATACTACAAGATGATCTACAATTGGTAGTACAAATTTCTTCTTCTGTATACATGCAAAATTTTGATTTTAAGCTTCCACTTCTACCACGAATGCATTGTCATGAGATTATATTCTTCATTCAAAATCAAAGACAATTCTCAGTTAACTGCATTTATAATAACATGTTGCCTACAGTTTTATTCAAGTATGTTTGCATTATCCCAGAAGGTGCCTCGAAGGTGCCTCGAAGGATGTACAAGAACCAATTTCACAACTTCCTCTACCACAAAGTGCAACAGCCAACTTTTTGGGAGATGAGTTCTTTACAATCTCAGAGAAACTGATCTAAGAAAATAAAATAATTTAAATTTATTTTTGCATTATTTGATTCCTATAAACCTTAGCCGCTAATCATCCCCTCTTACTCCTCCTTTCCTCTCTTGATTATGTCCAAGAGATTCAGGTTCTTCCTCTTCTCCTCCCTCTAAAACGCCTTTATTGAATACACATTCCCCTTCCCTCTTTTTAGCTGCATCATAAATATTATTTTTCTTCTCCATCAATTCACTTTTAGAGGAGCTAGTCACATCAAGTGGTCCTACTTCACCAAGCTTTTCTCCACTAACAGATTCCTTTCATTTCATGCATCCATCAATAAATTTCAGGATTTTTTTTTATCTCTTTAGAAGTGCATTGATTTTTCATAACAGTCCTCACAACCAAGTCTCTTATATACAATCTACTTTTGAAATCTTGTAAAATGTCTATGACAATACCTAGTGTATGCTCTTTGCTAATGATATTTTTCTTATTGATAAGACTAGAGAGTGAGTAGAAGGAAAAACTTGAACTATGGAGGTCAACCTTAAAGTCTAAAGGCTTTCGTTTGAGTAGATATAAAATTGAATACATACAGTGTAATTTTAGTAGAAATTGATCTAGTGGTGGGTTTGTGACATTGGGTGATCTAATCATTAAAAAGAGTTCATATTTTAGATATCTCGGGTCTATTGTTCAAAGTGATGGTGAAATAAATGATAAAAGTATTAGTAGAATTCAAGTTGGATGGTTGAAGTGGAGGAATGCATCGTACCTATTGTGTGATAGAAAAGTATCCCTCAAACTTAAGTGAATATTTTATAAGATGGTGGTGAGACTTGCAATCCTTTATGACGCAAAATGTTGGCCCTTAAAAGAGAAGCATAAAATTAAATTAAGTGTTGCAGATATGAGGATGCTTAGGTGGATGAGTGGCTTTACACTTAGAGAGAATACGAATAAGTGATAAGATTGGACTAACTCTAGTGACAGATAAGATTAGAGAGAATCGTCTTAGATGATTTGGTCACATTAAGCGTCGGATTTCCGATGCCCGGTTATGAGAGTAGATGTATTAGATCTAGCCTATGTTAAGATAGAGAGAGGTAGGCCTAAAAAGGTTTGGTCATAAAGTATTAGAAATGACCTTTTTTTATTGGATTTAAATGAGAATTTGACTCTTAATAGGACATAATAGAGAAAACCTATTCATATAGCCAACCCCTTGCAACGGGATAAAGGTTTGATATTGTTGTTGTAAGAAACATTCAACTTTAAAGTTTAATGAAACTCCATTGCCAACTTATCCTGGAACATTAACAAGCCATCTTTCAAATTCCCTCATCTCATCCAAGGACAATTAACTATTTTGATTGCTTTATTTACACTTCTAAAATGCACGTTCATAACTTTTATATAATGATGTGCAGCCAATTTTTCTCTTGAATTCAACTTTACATTTTTGGTAATCATTTTTTTCCATTAAAAATATGAATAAATTCTCAGAATGAGAAGCTTCAATGCTGATGGAATTTATACTTGCATGCATAAGTTTTGTAATCCTTCATTAGTTCTCAAATAGAATGTGAAGTGCTAAATGCTCTTAGCTAGACTATGAAGAACTGGCCCTCCTCTTTTGGTAAGGGTTTACTTTAGACTTGTGAAAACTGAAAAGTAAGAAAATAAAAATCTCTCGAACAAAACCTTTTGAAACAAGCAAACCGGTTATAATCTAAAGATTTCGAAGATTAACTTCACATATCATTTTGTGTGTTCCATTATGCACGTCATTATATTACCCATATGGCCATATTTTTACTGGAAGCTTCAATTCAAACAAAAGGCATCAGAAACTTTTTTCCATTATGATAGATCAATTGAAGTTTAAAATAATAAAAGTTGTGTCACAACAAATATTTATTCCATTGACAAAAACATTCAAAATTAAATGAGCTATAGCATATGCGTTAATAATGACATAATCAACATTGCTCCATACTCACATTTCTGGTGTCACTCCTTCCTCAATCTTTATAATCTGAAGGAAAAAAAAAAAAGAAACAATGAAGACCAGTATAAAGTACTGTGAAATGAGGAATAGGCTAAGAAACGATTCTTATAATCAAATTAATCACGTCCAATTATACCACTAGCAAATAATAGAGGAAAAAAAAACATGCACAAGAAGATTGCTAAAAAAAGTACCTTTAGAACTTTAGTTAGGATAAAGCACAGCACAGAAGAAAAAATCATGTGCAACAACGTCAATGCCACTGGATAAGGGAAGTTGATTTCCTTCGAAGACAAAACCCACTGCAGTAATAGGTTTGTAGGTCAGCTTAAAACAATTTCAAGTTTTATTTTCAAAGATGAAGAGAGGGCACTATTGTGCAAAAACATCCTAGATTTAGTTGTTTCCACTATAAATAAATCCCCTATGCAACCTACAAGAAAAGGAGGCTTATGCATTTCATATAAATTAAACCCTAAAGAAATTTGAATTTTAATTTGACAACCTAAATCTCTTACATGATGCTTCATAGGCAATGACATATAATCAAACAAAAAAAATTATGGGGCTATTTGGTATCCTATTTTAGGCATCATTGAGCAAGATTTTGCTTAAATCTTGCCAAATAGAATATCCTAGCATTTTTTTAAATCATATTCAGCTGCATTAATGGTTATATCAAATTTATTAAATCTTTGACATGATTTAATGGATTTAAAGACTTTTTCTCTTTAAAATCTCAAATCCTGAAGCAAATAGTTAAACATTTTAGCAAGAAGTAGCAATATTTAATGGTGGGCATGCCAAACGATTTTTAGGTTTTAGTCCTATCAAGATTTACTAAATTTGGATTTGTAGGATTTGCTAAATTTGGATTTGTAGGATTTGCTAAATTTGAGTTTAAATCATGCTTGTAACCGAATAGCCCCTTAAGTTATTTGTTCTTAGTCACCATTGAGTCCTTTGCTTTAATGACAACAAGAACGACATTTTAAAGATATTATAATAATCAAGGAAATCTCAGGGGTTCAGTTTTGGCGATCTAGGCTAATGTTATCAGAACCCTAAACCAATTTAAAGAAGTTTCGTTTTAGGATTCCCCAATTTAAGCTTCGCTGAATAGATAAAAACCAACTTTACCTAACTAAACCACTAATAGAAGTACACGAAAATTATAACTCCTATAAGGCCCTAGCCATGCAATGAAACTGAAATTCGATAACCCACGCAACTCCAATTCATATTGATTAACCGAACACATCTGAGCACTTGACAAGGCAGCTGCTCTTCTATATCCTCTAACGACCCTTGCTTCACGGGACTCAGCAGATTCGCATAAATAGCAGCAGAATGGCAATCAGAGATACAAACCAAAGTAATTTGCAAACCTGCGAGGGGTTCAGAAAGGAGATAGAAAAATATACCTTGTTGAAGAAGATTTGACCACTTGATATGGCAATGTAGAGGATGAGATAGGCGTAAGTGACGCCGCTGTCCTTGAACTTCTTCATCCACTGATCCATCGTCGCCACTGTCTTCTACCGCCGGAGTGAAGCCAGAGAGATGCGAAGCCTGCAGTCCAAGGGAAGACTTTTGGTCACGGTGAACATGCTTGGCCTCACTGCCAAACTAGTACAATATATATTAAGAAAAAAAATATTGTATTTCCGATGCTTTCTTCACGACTTACGTATAAAGCACTTGAAGTTGTTTTATTTGCGCTGATGGTCCGGACTATATTAGCTGGAACGGTATGGTTAAATCCTCATTTAAGATCTTCATTAATTCCTAGTGTGCAAATGGGCAAATTATTATGTGCGGCTCCAGAGTGCTGCATTTTTATTATATTTTTTATGTATTTTTATAAAAGGGCAGCCAGTACATAATTTTAATTTCATATTAGATATTCTTTTGTTGATATTTGTAAAAATACATCAAAAGCATAGCAAATATCTTACTCATTAATTATTTGATGCTCTTTTATTGTACTTTTCAAATACTCAGTAAAAAGGTAGTAAAATTGCAGCTAATATACAATTAAAATTATGTATTATCCGCCCTTTTGCAAAAGTACAATAAAAGCGTACCAATCCGGACGCAAGCTTGCATCCAGGGTCCGCACAAAATAATTTGCCGTGAAAATGAGCAATATAATTCATGGTTTTATTACATCTTGCATAAGAGTTATGCTATGTGATTCTCAATTTTTTGCTTAATTGATTTTAGTTATGAGAAATGGGCTTTATTTGTGAGGGGTTTCTTACTGCTTCTCAAAGTAAAAAAAAAAAAATTATTAAAAAGCTACTTTAAAGAGCAGTAAAAAAATCATCTTAAATGAAGCCTTAAATAACATATATATTACTTCAACTTAATATTCAAGTTCTAAGATGTTGTAATTTTTGTAATGATCTTCCTGAATCTACTAATTATGTTCTCTTTCAATATAATTACACCTTTAATATTTTATAAAATTTTGCCATGGACCTCTACTTCTTGTTGATATCAAATTTATTCTAAAATTTGAGTTCAAATGCTCATACGACAAAATTCGTATCATTTAGCATATGTTATATTATCGTGTTTTGTGCATGTCATTGAGAGGTTTTGGAAGTTATGCTTCTTTTCTTCTCTCTGATATGTTTTTTAGCACTACATAATTGTTTCTTATGCTCTTGTAATTTTTTCTATCTTTTGAGGTATAGCTTTGCTTTCAGCATGCTTGTAATTATCTTTCATAGTGAATGCAATAGACTTAGGCCCTCAAATTTTGCTGAAGAAAATAATTTGTTTATTTATATATTTAACATCTAAATTTTATTATTTACAAATTAGATTGAGATTGATGACATAATCCCTCCATGGCCCTCATTTAATTTAAAAAAATCATAAATTTGCTCCCTCTAGTTCTCAATCGGATGCCCTGATCCCCTTTTCTATTAAGATATCACTTGCAAGAAGAATGTCCACTTCAATAAAAAGTGTGCTATGATTATATCAACTCCAAGGTGATTCCCCAACTCAACAAATCATTTGATTTAACTATATAAACAACAAGGTGATCATCCATCTCAAGAATCCATCAAGACTTATTCCTTAATTACTAATTATCATTAATTATGTGATAATTTATTTCTTAATTATAATACTAATAATTGGTTGTTTAGCACCTATAAATTATAAACCTCTTTTATAGTTTACAGTGAGAAATAAGATACAATGTTTTTATTTTATCATTTGTCCCTTGTTTTAACGTGATATCATAGCCAAAAAAATTTTTGTGAACCATTATTGCCAATTATTATCCTCCTAAAGCTCAAAACCACCTTCTCTCAAATCCTGAAATCACCACACATTACCACACGTACACCCTCTCCTCTCAGATTTTGAAATCGTTATTTACAAAATATCATAAGACTTGAGTGGATTTAAAACTGCTCTTTGTTATCCTCAAATCATGTTCCCAATACTCTTCATTATCTTCAAATTTCTTGAATCCAAATTCCCAAATCCCTATATTCTATATATTTGTTATTGGATCCCCAATTCATGTCCCTATAAAATTTTCAAATTTCACAAATCCAATTTTCCCAGTTCAAATTTTTCATTTCTAAAAGTTCCCAAAATTGGGAAACTATGATTAAACCTTAGCATGCAACAAATCTTAACCCAGCCCAAATCCCCTGCAATGACATATGAAGCTTTAGCTTTGATTTCTTACTATCGATGGGCTCAGTTGTCCCAAGGCCAAAACATCAAATCTAATAAATTTTAACATTTCATACAAATCTACATATAAATGCACTAGTTGCAATCAAACAATTTATTTAAAAAAAATGTTACTTTGAACTTGTTAGATATCTAAATTGATAGGATCAAACACAACATTAAAAATGTAAACCACCTTCTACTACTATAGTTGCTCAAACATAGAAAGATGATGCCTCTCCTACATGATCAACATTGGTCACCACTAAAAAAATAAAAAACATTGGTCACTACTATAAATATTAGAGGTGAGTTCTTCACCACTTACTATATTATTTCAAATAGTGCATGGACAATTTATTCAAGTGAGATTGACCATATGGCATTTGATGTTAGACAACTCTCAATTCCTTGTATTTTTGTGATAATGGAAATACCATCCATGTAATTGTGAGTGGATCATCATATCTTACCAACATTTTACATCTTTATTCTTTGTTTTTTATTCCCTCATTAGATTATAATTTTTTTATACCCTATGTGGGGTTAGAAAATATTAGAAATGACATTACTTTATTAGATTTAAATAAAAATTTGACTCTTAACATGACACAATGGAGAAAAGAATTCATGTAGCCGACCCCACATAGTGGGATAAAGGATTGATATTATAGTAGTAGTTGTTGTTAGATTATAATATTTTTGTTGGTCTCTCAAATCACAACTATCTTATATTGTGTTGCTATTTTTTATCCCGATTTTTAAATGTTTAATATATTCAAATTCAATAAATGATTGGTTATTATGTTAAGAGAGAAAAGCTATATTAGTTGGACTCAAATCTAGCAAATTATGACAACATTTGACAATAGGTAGCACTAGTTTATCCAAGAAGATAGTTGAGATCTAGCTCAAGCATTGAATTTTGGGACATGCCTTAATTAGTTATTTAAAAAATGTTGTTCACCAATAAGTTTATGAATTTGGATATTTCTTCTTTTTTTTAAAATAAGATGTGTGTGAACTTGTAAAAGCCATCATGCCACATTTCCTTTGGTTTATAAAAAAAAGTCCTATTCTTTTTATGTTTAGGTTCATGTAAAATTTTCATGTTGGACGTCTTATTTTATTTGTTACGTTTGTTTATGATTGTACTTGGATAATATGGCTTGTTTGTTGAGACACAAATCGAAAGTTAACTTGATATTTCATTAGTTTTATAGCACCATTTGTACAAAATATAATGCTACAATACAACTATTACAAAGTGATAATGGCTAGGAATACCATAGCTACAAACTTCTTTAACTTTTTAACTCTCGTAGCTTTAATCCAACATACTAGTTGTCTGGATGTACCTTAATTGAATATTGTGACCAAATTTAAAAATAGATAATTATTGAAACTTATTATCATTTCTAACATCGAGGCTCACATGATCTTATACCATTAGGGCAAATCTCTTCTCTCCATCGCATATCTCATCAATTATGTTCATCTCATTCTATAAACTTTAAAACACACTTCCAAACACTTGTAAGAGCTAATGTTGCTCTTGCAGACCCAAGCATACCTCCTAATGTATTTGTATGTGTTCCTCATATTCATCCACCTAACACCAATAAGTAAGTTAATGCCTTAAGCAATGAAGTCAGCATTTTTTGCATGATAATCATTAGAAAGGATATAAATGGTGTCATCCTCTTACTAAATGTATGTTTATTACTATGGGTATTATACTCCATAAAGATATTATGTATTTATTTTATGTCTGATTTTCAAGGGGAGTGTTTTGAGAATATTCATAGTCTTATATATAATATTAAGGGGGAAGATATAAAAGTATCATAGCAAAATTAATATAGATGATTTGGATCATAGTGATGAAAACTTGGATTTATGTGGTGATGCCCTACACACACGACACAACTGTTGAGGGTAAATGATTTAGAATCTCATAGTAAAAACTTTGGATTGAAGTGAAAATGAGTACCTAAAAATTAGGAAATATCTAGAATCAAGATGGGGTATCTCCCAATTAATAAACAAAATTAATAAGTCATTGAAGAGACTCTTTATAAAGTGTTTGATTCATCTAAGAAATAAAACAAAATTGTATTACGAGAGATATTCCAAAATTTACTTATGAATGTAGATTATTGTGGACAAATAAATGTGCCACTAATTCTCTTTAATGTTTCTTTAGTTAAATCTGCAAAACCAACATTAAACCCAAGAAAAAATAGGAGATATAGGGAACATCCCCTAGTTTACCCTATCCAAATTTGAGTCCTAAATGACACATGGTTGTAGAGTAATAAAAGAAAATTAGTAGATGTTGAAATATAAATTACTCTCTAAATATTGTCAATTAAAAAAAAAATGTAGAGCTCATCACATTGGTTCCATAGAGCCCAAGATCATGAAATTTAGCTTAGAAATGATTTTTTATGAATTGTTGAAGTTCTAGCTTTTTTAAAATTTAAAATAAATTGTAATTAAAAAACGATGGCAATGGCCACACGTGGTGCATGCGGATTGGTCATGTTATTCTGTGCAAAGATTGGCAATCATTAGCATGGCAATGGTGGTCAAATATGTGTTGGTGTGTGACGGGGTTACTTAACCATGTAAGCAATGATATGAGTCGTCTGATCCACACGGTTTAGATCGATGGCTCATATTGAGTAGGTCAGTAATTTGAGCCACACACAGGTGAAACTAATCAAATCAAACGATCCAGCCAATGGGATCTAGACCATCCACGCAATTTGGACAATCCAATTTTCATCTTCTTCCTTTAGTACAAATTTTAGAAGAAATATTCATTTTCTTGATATATGTTATTTACTGAACTAAACTTAATAAAAATTTTTAGGGTTTATTTATGTTTAGATGAAGCTCTGGGGCTTCATATGGCCTATTTTGAAAGTTATTAGAAACCCTAGGTTTAGAGTTA